TTTGAGCACTGACCATATTGATTTATGCTCAGTATTCATACTCTCTTGTCTTTTCCCTCCGGGTCTTATTATTTGTCTTTGAAATTGTTCAATAGGTTGGTTTGTCGGGACATCTCTTATGGGCAGGAGAACATTCCAATTCCTGCTACAAATTTAGTTGATAATCCTCCTGTTCCTCCATCTGGTATGCTACAAACTTCTATTTATCCCCTTTAACTAGCTCTCCTGTCCATCGTTTTACCTGTTTTTATCATATGTTATTTTGGCCGCTAATCTTGTGTTCATGCCGGATGCTTGCTTGCTGCTTTTAATGTTTGGAATTAGCTCATCTTTTTTTGACATGTGTTACTTGTATTGCTTGAGTTTCTTGCTTTTCACAAATATTGAGCATACACGCTATAATGATTTTATCTGTGTCATGCCTTTTGTAGGCTTTGTGTACTCTAAGTCACTGCAGATTCCAGAATATATCAAAATGCCAGCTGACAGCATTGGTTGTAATTGCAAAGGAGATTGTTCTAGCTCTACACACTGCTTGTGTGCTGATCGCAATGGTTCCGATCTACCATATGTGTCTAGTCAAAAGAAAGTTGGAAGGTAACATTTTGCGTTGAAGGTCATTGGGCTTTTAGCATAATGTAATGTCAAAAAACATGTTTATGGTAATATTTGCCTACTAAGGGAGGTGGCAATGGCGCTTCAAGTTTTCAGGGAATGAAAAAGAATGTTTATCATGTACTCTTTGTTCTTGGGCTGCAGCTCTTCTTTAATCAGTTATGTAATCTTTAGGTTGGTGGAGCCCAAAGCAGTTGTGTTCGAGTGTGGTGCTACTTGTAGCTGCCACTGCAGCTGTGTAAATAGAACATCCCAGCAAGGATTGCAATACCGCCTAGAGGTAGTACTTTTTCTTATTCTCTTATTTTCTTTTATGTGTTTTTTCCTTACTTCCTCCAGTCAGGTTTATAAGTCGAGCAAGGGTTTTTAGTCTTTAATTTGACTAGCAAAACTTGTGTTATATGCCCCCGAAAAATATATCTTCAGACCCGTC